TTTTTTAGTATTTGTACCTTGGTGCCACTGGGTTCTGATCCAAAACATGATATGCAGAAAATCCAGTGCAGAATGGCCCTGAGAGGTTGAGATTTCAGGGGCCAGGGAGATGGCTCGGTAGAATAAGCGCTTCCCTGGCAAACGTAAGGGCCTGTGTTCAATTCCGAGTTTCACCAAAAAAAAAAAAAAGTTGAGATTTCATGGGAGTAAGCACTGCAGTATCTTGCTGGGTGTGCTGACACACTGCTGCAGTCCTAGTCTGGGAGGCTGAGGCAGGAGAAACCCAAGTTAATGTGCAGCCTGGGAAACTGAGGAAAATCTGGTCTCAAAATAAGAAAAAGGGACTAAGCTGTGGCCCAGTGTGAAGGCCAGGGTTCAGTCCCCAGTACCACCCCCTAAAAAGAGAAAATTGAACTACTGGATACTTTAGCAAAGAATTGGCGGGAGAAGTAAATGAGTTACTTAAAAATAATTCTTTTAGGTAAAACTAGTCAGTTTCCCAAATAATTCAGAAATAATCATTACCACTGAAGCTTAAGAAGGTGTTTATGCAAAGGAAACGGCCATATAGGAATCTCTTAATGTGCAGAATGAGCCTTGTGCAAATGGGTTCAAAATTCGCTATAGTAAGTAAATTGTTCATTACTTATTAAGAGCTTATTCTGTGGCCTAGAATGATGACTGTTCTCATTGTGTTTATAAAAGGGAAAATTTTGAATTAATACCCAAAAATAGCTTTTCACAACTTGAAATTGTTTTTTCCTTATAGTCCTGGATTTAAGAAAAAGTGTTCAGAAGAACGTGTTAATATGTCTTACCAATTTAACTAAGTAGTCCTTAGTGTTTTTACATGTTTTGAGCAATTCATAGTGAAAGTAAAGAACTTGGATCTTGAAGGAAATTGAACTTGAAGAAATCTGCATATTTTCATCATAGAGAAAATGAAACTGAGGAGATCGTTTAAGAAGGGTGTCCCGGGTCACACCACTAATCTGGTACAATGAAGAGTGAAGCCACGTTTCTGAATTCCTTGTATTTATTTTCCACAATGCCATTCTGTCCTCCAAATTTTTAGTACTGTGGTAAATTTGTTAATTTTAGTTCCAGTATACGCTTAGCCATTTTATATGTTAGATTGCTGACAGTTGTAGCAAGGTCAGGACAGTCTTCTCAGAGGTAAGGGGATGGTAAGTCCTTGGCAGTTAGCACCCTTGATCCAAGAGTGGATGCCTAATGCCTTTTTGGCTGTTTCCATCTCAGTTTCTCCAGTGTTGTAAAAAGCCGAGTTAGCCTCCAGCACTCAAAATAGTGATGGAATTGGTTTGAGAGGGAAATTGTCCAGTTATGTGCATTGAAAATAAGCTTGTAGTTGCCTGAGATAAAAAAAAATGTAATATATACTTCATATTTTTATTACATAAATTTTTGAAATAGAAATCAGGGTAAATCTTAGCTTTCTTTAGAGTTAGTCTTTCATAATTGGGACATTTCCCATCAAGTTCTGGAAAATATAAAAAAAACCACTTTGAACACATTTGAGGTTTTGTTTGTTACGACTTAGCATTTTTATCAAGTAAGTCATGTAAATATATTGGTGAGAATGGGAAGCTATGAAAGCTAATCATTATTTTAAAATTTGATTTAGCCTACTTTGTGTGTATCTCTGTGTCTGCCTGGCATTAGTTTCCATCTCAAAAACATGTATCAAAAAAACCTTATACTCTTGCAAATTTTTAATTTAAAAAATTGTATCAGCTACTTGATTTTGAAATTTTTAAAGTAAGGAAAGAGAAAATGGCTTATAATTTCACAAGAAATCCTCAGATTTTCTTTAAAAAAGAAGAAATGAGTGATGTGTGAAAGTGACTAGAAAATACAAGGTGGTGAGACCAGGGAGTTAGCTCACTGGCATAAGGGCCTGCCTGGCAAGCACAAGGTCCCAAGTTCGATCCCTGGTGCCTCAAAAACAAACAAAATACAAGGTGAAGCCTCCTTCCCTGGCCCCCCCTCTGAGGTAGCTGTTAACAGATTCTCACATATCTTTGTGAAGAAAAGAATTTGATGTGTGTCCTAGTTCAGTTTTCTGCCTTTTCTTGAAGTACTTTTTTACACATTTTTTTCTCCTGTAACACAAACAGTTCTCATATTAATGGAGTCATACTCTGCTATCATTTGGAAGCCCTGTGTCATGTCTAGCTGGTTACACAGTGGACTTTCAGTCGTTCCCACCGCTTTGGGTGTCTAGCACTGTGACAGGGAGGGGTGCACAGACAGGTCACCGCACTTTCTGGGTCTGTCAGTAGAGTTTAGTTCATCCTGGCAAAAGGATCCCTCCAGAATGATTATTTTTCCCAATAATGTGTGAGTGCATTTTAAATACATTTAAGTTCCAAATTTAAAGTTTCTGTTGTCTATTCTCATGATTTGAGCATTTTGTAAAGGTAGCTTTTGTCTAAGTGTTTGCATGGTGGTACATGTCTAATCCCAGCAGAGGGAGGCCAAGGCAGGATTGCTACAAGTTCAAGACCAGCCTGAGTTACATAGTGAGTTCAGGGGCAGCCTCAACTGTACAGTAAGACCTGTTCCAAACAATCAAACAGAAGGCAAAATGACTGTTTACCTTGAGTTTTATTTTTGTAGTTGACTACAGTAATTGATAGTTGATATTAAAGCTTTTTCTGGAGGGTATTATTAGGTTAAGATACCACCTCCTAAAAAGACATAGCATGATATGCAGCAGCTTGGGGACGTACATTAAATATGCTTTGAACTAGTAAAACCATTTTAGAAGGAAAGAAAACATAATGAAGAAAGAGGTGATGGAGGGGACAGTATGTAATTGTTCTCTAGAAGGCAGAGAAGGAACCCTGAGAGGTCAGGTCATTCCTTTTAGGTCTGCCTTCATCACCACAGTGGAAGCTTAATCCACTAGGTAGGAGATAGGTGGGGTAGGCGTTCGCGCTGCAGAGTCACAGTTAAGGTTCTGTAACTAGCCCTGGAAAGTGGAGGTAGCATTATGTAAATGCACTTTCTGTTTCTCTTTCACTTCTGAATAAATGCTGCCCTCATTCCATACACAAACCTTTTATATCGTGATACAAAACTTACATCTTATCTTGAACGATAATCATTCTGTCAGTTTAACAAGGTAATGTTCACAGGTTTACAGTATGAACCATTCAAAAGCTAGTTTTCAGAAGCTCATCTTTGATTTAATTGGATGTAATTAACTTACAAGGAAGTAATCTCCTCCCTGCTAAATTGATACAATAGAATTTTATTTTGGACATAAAATACTAGAATATATCCACATACAATTACATATCTGTAGGCAGCGTAGGTAGCGTACGCATTTCCTCTGCCCTCAGCTCGGTCCTTGGGACATCGCAGCAAACCTGACATGATGGCATTATGAATGTAGTCTTCATACCTTGGGTGTTCTGCTCTATGCAGGCTGTGTTTACAGGTGTGTCCAGATCTCACAGCACCTGGTATCTCAATGAATGGAAAGTGTTTGGTACTTTCTAGTGCTTTAAGGTGGTAACTGTAGGTCAGTAAAATGTTGATCAGTACGGTATTTATTGTCATTTAATGCTGTGCAGGACTCGTGTAAACTGAATTAGGAGATGCTATTTACAATTCAGTATCTATGCTGATATCTTGTGTCAATAAAGACCATACCTTTTCATCTTCAACAGAGTTGTAGTGTTCAAAAAGAATTAAATGTCCAAGGACTATTAAGCTTCTCTGTTTCATAAAAAATGTTGGTTGTTTGCCGCGATAAATATTTTCCAAAAGCTTCTAACAAGGCAAACAGCACTGTGCAGCCCCTCAAGCAGATTGAACAACCTGAGCTGCAGGCAGAGATGGTCATTAACTCTACATGGAGGCTTAGAACTTCCTGAAGTATGGGTGGGTTCATTGTACAGCATATTCTTGCTGTGTAGTGATTTTTGTGCAAGTTAAATCTGTTTCAAGTCAGAAATGCATAGCTGTGCCCAGGTGTTAAGTAAGCTAGAAATCCCTTTTTATGATCATATTACTGTACCTGTGTCGCCTTAGCACCAGCTACCCACTAGAGAGCCAGTTTAAACAGCAAACATCCATTATGTTCTGGCAAAGTAACTTTTAAATGATGGTAGTAGTATGATCCTGGGAATAGGTACTACTGGACAAAGACAGCTAAAGGGAAGAACAGTCTTACAAGCATCTTAAAGAAAAACGAACTTTTGAAAATGTGTGCTGTACAAGAATAACCTAAGTCACCATGTGGGATGTAGAATGCCATACTTGGTACAATAATACGATGCGTATGGTTTTCAAAATGAATTTAAACACCTCACAGGAATTTGTCTTGAACCCCTCTCTTTTAAAAACTTAGGCATTTTCCTTATTTCTGTTTCTTTCTCCTTGTCTGTCTGCTTTCTTATTTATTAGAAGGAAGGAATACTGCCTGATCCCAGTCCGTTTTAGGCCAGGGCTTTGGACCTTCCACCATCCTTGTCTTCTGAGGACCACAAGATAGTTAACTCAGAATGAATCAGCAAGATTTATACACACAGTTCATGTCATTAAGCATCTTTTGAGTTAACTTTGTCTAGTAGAAATTTATGTTTATAGATAACTTGTTTGTAATTAAGATAAAATATAGCCATGTACTGTCAAGTGGTAACGTTGCTTAAGTAAAGTTGCTGCCGGTTTTTCTTGGGCTTTTCCGTGTGCTCGTGGGGTGACAGGTGCTGTGGAGTAGGCCCAAGGCCTGGGAAGCTGTACCATGGTGTTTTTCCTTAATAAAGTGAGCCTGTTGCAGGATTTAGGATTTAGATGATAATTTAATATTTCCTTTGCTTTCTTACAACCTAATTTTTCTTTAAAATTGTATCTTTAAGTTGTTTCTCTCTTTAAATTGTGTCTGTCTTCCTTCGCACAACACATTTTTAAAGCGGTTAAAGCACATTGATAGCAAACTTCATGTGTAGTGTTTTGTATGTATCAGTAGGAGAAAATCTGTTTCAGGAAATTCCAAGACATAGGAGCATAACTTAATCCATGTATGTTGTAGGGTCCATGTTTACTTTCAAAAGTGAATGAGTTCTATATATAGGTTTGGAAGTATTTGGGGTTTTCTGTGGAAGGGATGCATCTGTACTTGAAAGGTTAGTCTTAGACAGTTGGGACATGAAAGTTTACTGTAGTCTTTGGAGACACATTATTAGTCTCTGGTATTTGTGAAGTATGGTGTGCCAAAATCTAATTTGTCTTCTTTTCTCCCCCTCAGCCATCGGTTGAATCTTCAAGTCCCGGTAAGTATTTTTCCTATATTTTTAGTAATCTCTATTTTGACTAGTATTTGTCCTATTAGTTGCATAAAAGCTAGAGGAGTTAGACTATCATCTGACTTGCTTTTCTTCTGAATGCTTCTTTTCTCTGGGGAGAAAGAAATGGATGAAATGTTTGACTGCCCATGAAAGTACAGGTGAGGCTGCTGTGAGTTCATCTTCATGCCTGTTTTTGTCCTCTCGCTCTTTCTCTCTCTCCTCCCTGTCTTTTTCTCTCTCAAATTGCCATATGTATATCTTATAGTTTTACATTGTTATTTGACTTAATGTATGTATGAAGTATCATTTTGAGAAGGGAATTGGTTAGCTTAAATGTGCTTATGTAGGAAATGAAAACTTTATTTGAGGAAAAAAATGTTAGCATGTTTCCTGCGGGAGGGAATAATTGAGCATCCAAAAGGTTCAATAGGTAAATGTTGAGTGTTGTAAATTAAGTGTATTATTCTTAGCTTTTGGTAGTACCAAGTTTTATTTTCTGACTGTACACATAAAGGCTTTTAATATTCTCCTTAAGATATAGTAGGTTCTTCTGTTTCCTAGAAGTTCCAAATTTGTGATCCTTGGACTAATTCGAGCCACTTTTTTTGGCCACTATAATCTTTAAAACAAAGTATTTTATATAAAACCTAGATTGGGGGTTCGTGCTCAATCCCAGGGCCTTGTACCACAAGGCAGGGCATTTTCACATGGCGTTGATTGGTTGTGTTAGATTGCAGTAGAAAGAGTCACCTCTTGGTCATTTGGCCTCAGTTAACAGAGCCTGCAGAGGACGTGGGCCTGCTGAGCGAGCAGGAACGCAGCCTGCAGAGAAGAGTTGGGAGGGTGGGCCCTGAGGCTAGAAGCACCTCTCATAGGTGGACTGTTAGGACAGATTCCACGTTGCTGTTTTCGTGTTATTGAAGAGGTCATATTTCTGTTTTAAATTATAGGAGGAATGCTTTTCATAATGCTCGACACAATATAAGCCCTTCTTAATGACCCATGGCCCTTCACATGAGCACAAATTATTATATTCTGTGAGGACTAGATTACTTCCAGAACTCTTGAATAGCCAAGGTGCTCAGTTTACATTGGATTTCTCTATTTCAGCTGAAAATGTCTTTTTCTTACATGCTTGACAATAAAGTACATTAAGTTTTGTGACATTCGTGAAATTCAAGGAATTTTTTAACTTTCTGATTTGTAAATATATTCCGGTTGGTTGACACTGGATGTAATCTGACCTCAGTTAAATGTTGTATCACTGTCATTGTTTCCAGTATTGTTTTTTTCTTTCAAACACATTGAAAAAGCAGGTTCTTGTGTTCATAGTGCTATTGCAAGTGGAGCAAGTTGTAGGTATTAACAACTTTCGAAGACCAAATGCCTAGAGACATAAAGTAATTACTCAAATAAGATACTAATAAATTACTTCCACAGTTTGTGTCCAACTAGGCAGAACTGTGGGAGCAGTGGAATTTGAAGATACAAGTGCTTTTAGTGGCTTTTCCTCCTTGGTTTAAGGGTCATATTTACATTTCTGTCAGATTGTTTTCAGACTACAGAAAATATGTATGACACAGTATTTGTAGTGTCAGGCTTCCTCCCAAAGGAATGGTTAATATTCTAAGTATTAATAGTTTTAGGGAAGGGTCTACAGGGTCTCAAGGTCTCACTACTAGATCAGACTCATAGTGATCCACCTGTTTACAATCTCCCAAGAGCTGGGATTACAGGCGCATGCCACCACACTCAGTCTCATTTGTGTGCCCCAGGGGTGGGGCCTGCACAGCAGGCCTGGGGATCAAACCCCTGGCCCCTGTGCCTGCTTGCCCGTGCTTTAATCTGCTGAGCTATTTGACCAGCCCTAGTTTTAGGAAATTAAGAAAGTTGGTGGAGAAAACCAAGAATAGAGGCCTCACGTAAAAAAATGTTCTGGTCCTCCGGTAAAATTTATGCTTTTTTAGTGTCTAGGGTTGGTAATCGGTATTAGTAATTATACTCACTTGACCACATTAAGTGGTTTGTAGATGTTGCCAGTATAAACCAAAGAAGAGATAGAGTCTTAAGTTTTTAACCTGTAAGACTAGTAGTCATTGAGGTTAGAATTAAGGCAAGGGAAAAAATTAATTTTTTTTTGGTACCAGGAATTGAACACAGGACCTCACACTTGCCAGATAGGCACTGTACCTCTGAGCTATATCCCTGATCTAGAAACAAAATAATAATTTTATGTATTTGGTATGGGATCTCGCTATGCAGCCCAGACTTCTAGTGATTCTCCAGTTTCAGCCTCCCAGCACTGGGATTATAGATACGTGTATCGCCACACCTGGTATTGGTGGCTGGTGCACCCAGGGCCAGGCCGGCACGGCATGCAGTGCCAGAGATTGAGCCTAGGTCCTTGCACTTGGCCTAGGCAGGTGCTTAGACTACTGAACTATCTCCATGGGCCCCAGAAAAAAATTTAAATGATTAATCAGGTACATATGGATATATTGTAAGCTGACTGTCTTTGAAAAGATGTAAACTGTCCCCAGCCTGGTGGGGACAAACTATAATCCCAGCACTTGCGCTGAGGCAGGATTGAGTTCATTGTCAGCCTGAGCTACTGTTTTAAAATAAAGTATAAGATACCTTCTATAGGGGGAAAAAAAGAAAAAGAAAACAAAACACTTTAATTCTGCAGCAAGGTGGGATCTTATTGCCAATCCATGATACTTGCCTTCACTCTGAAGCAGGAAACTTACTTACACAAAACACTGGATTTATAGTCACTAATAATTTACTGCTCAGATTTCCCCATGGAAACAGCCTAAAAATGGATCTAGCAATTGACAGAAAGTATTGGAATAATTAGTTGGTCCTAGAGACCAAGGTGAGAAGTCAGATAAAACAACAGAGGTCAATTAAGGCAAAAAAATAATTGAAATTAAGAGTCCCATGCTCTACTGACTGAGCTAGCTGGGCACTTAAATAACTGGAATTAAAGTTTTACAGAGCCTCCTATTTGTAGGAAAGGAGTTGGAGGAAGATGTTCCCCTACTCTGTGTTACTTGATGTGGGGAAGTGAAATGGCAAGTTTTCATCAGCTTTTCAGATGGTGGCAAAAAATAGGGCAGCTAGGTGTGCTAGTGCATACCTGTAGTCCCAGTGCTTGGGACACTGAAGCAGGAAGATTGTTGTTTGAAGCCAGCCCTGACTGCATAGTAAAAGCCTGTGTCAAAAAGAAAGAAATAAATTAGGTTATCTTTGAGAGTAACATCCTTAAGTAAAAATTCTGCCTAAGGTTGTGGTCTGGGGTTTTTAAATAGCCTTCTGCCTACAAAGGAGAGGAAAAGCATAGTATCTATCTGTAGTCACTGCTGAGTGTCTCAGAAGATTTGCCAAGAGGACCAAGAAGTTGGGCAAATTTTCCATTGAAAGCTCAGAAGAGAACAGTCAAGACATAAAACTATAGCTAAGCCCATGATTTTCCTGTGGGACCTAGTCTGACATTCACTACTAGAATGTCCTACTAAAATTATGCAGCCTTTTCTTAATGTCCAAGAGAAGTAATAACTTCTTTGTAAATCATTTAAAACTTTGGCAATTGTCAGCAACTTGTTTTCCCTGTACCCTGGTATAAGATGAGATGTGCTTTGGCAGATAATGATGTACTTGGCTATGTTTAATAGCAGTTTCTTACGCTTTCAATGAGCGCAATGTCTTCTCTGCCCCTCATATCTGACCCGGCCTACAATGACTCCTGTTAGTGAACACGGGCTTTCCTTATGGATTTTTTTTGGAGACAAAATTCTTCAGAACTTACAGAAGAAGTTGGAATTAGGCAAAGGACTCATATTTCATCTTTGCTAGACTGGCTTTGAGCTTAAAGATGCTATTTAAACTCTGAGCCTTTAGTCTTTGGTTGTTCCCTTTTTCAGTGGAAAAATGATAGGATTGTTTGAAGACTGAGGTAATGTGTGTGAAATGCTTAAGCATACTGTCTGGCACTTGGCAGGCTAAACTTGGTGCTCATGGTCGGGGGAGGGTTCCACGTCCGTAACACAGCAAAAGGAGACTCAGGCAGGAGGATCTTGGAGAGCCCAAGGCCAGCTGGGGTACAGAGTGAGACTCTGGGAAAACAGACAAGACTGTGCTTCTGTACAGAGTGGGAGTGCTGGAGAACCTTGAGCCTTCCTTATCATATTTCTCCTGGAAGTCAGCCTCTGCCTTTCTGTTTTACTCATTGGTTCTTACACCAGAATGACTCAATAGCACTGTCAACATTTAAATTGACAAAAAGATTGCTAAGTTTCTAACGTTAACTCATTTATGTTGAAGATTTGAGATATTTGATTTTTGGCATGAAATTTAGTATGTTATCTAGAAAAATTCAAGGAAGAAGAATTTGAAGAGAACACATACTACTATGTTCCACTGTTATGGACATTCTTTGAAGGCTTAGGCCCTGTGCTCATTAGCAACATGCCTGCAGACCTGAGTTGAGGTGTAGGGTGATCAGATGGGCAGCTACAGAGTGTGTGCCCAGCTGTGGGGCCACCTCAGCCAGATGGCTAAAAATGAATTCAGTAGCCTAGGTCATTTTAAGTCTCCTGTAAAAGTTTTGTATGTAATTTTAATAAATGTTGCTTTTATCTCTGAGTTATTTCAATTCAGAAATCAACTAAGTTGATTGAGTTACTGGGGGTACTGGACTGTCTCCAAGGAAGCGCTGATGGAAGAATGTTCGGTTCATCCTAGATTGTGGGCAGTCCTGTTGCTTAGTGCATTGTCGGGTGACTTCACCGAGTGAGTAGCACAGAGCGTGCTTTACACAGACCTGAGCGGTGTCGCCTGCCATGCACTCAGCCAGTAGGGTCCGGCACCATCAGGCACTGCCCAAGAGGCCCATGGCTTTGTTCACATGGCATCGTCACATGAACAGATATTCTAAGTGGCCAGAGGGCCTATCAAGCATCAATCAAATGGTTAAGAATTGTGATTTTTTTTTTTCTCTCCACAAACAAAAAACAGCCATTCTTATTTAATAGGATCATTCTGTAAGTTACACTTCATGTTTAGATTACAAGACATTTTCTAAAGTTACAGATACCACACTTGTGCCCCATTTTGCTGTGTAACCAAGTATACAGAGGTATAGGCAAGGCAAGGCACTGTGAGGAGAGTTTTGTTGTGGGGTGGTGATGAATGAGGGCAAGAATTTTACACAGCAAAGATCTTCAGTGTGCATAGCTTTTACTTGTTCTTCTTTGACTTTTATCCAACTTCAAATAAATAATGCATATACACTAAATCAATATTAATAAGACACTTAATTTGGTTCACCATACTTTTTAAAATATTCTTTACCAGGAGGTTCAGCAACATCAGATGACCATGAATTTGATCCATCAGCTGACATGCTGGTTCATGATTTTGATGATGAACGAACATTAGAAGAGGAAGAAATGATGGAAGGAGAAACAAACTTCAGTTCTGAAATAGAGGATCTTGCAAGGGTAAATAATATTAAGAGCTAGGGGATAAAGTGGTTATTTTCTGTGGAGAGAGGAGATTTTGGTTCACTGTATTTTGGGGGAAAAGTTGTATAGTTGATATTGAAAACAGTCCATGTAATCAAAGATAGGCTAAAGTTGGAAATGAAGGGATTTAGAAGTAGCTTTATTGTATGAAGTAATAGAATCAGAAGTGACTTTGGTAAGACAATACAAGCCTGGTCAAAAAGGCTGTACATCTCTTGGCACAGTGGCACACCTTTTATTTATTCCTCTTCAGAATCCAAATGTCCTAACCCTTGTGCTCATGCTCGTTCTCTGCGTGCATGCGGTGGAGTATGTCTGCCCCCTCCCGTTGGAGTACCCTCTGGTTTCATCATTGCACCCACTGCTGCCTTCCCCCTTCTCTGCACTCTCCTTTCTTTGCAGCGGTATTCAGCACACACTACCTACTGTTGCCTCCTTCTTGGACTCTGCACTTGGCAGTGTCATCTCCCTGCTTGTCTTCATGTTCTGTGTCTCCCGCAGGCCCTTCTTCCTCCACCTAAGGTTTAAATGTTTTGCATTTCCTGACCTTGCATTTCCTTGGCCTTCTCCTCTTTCCTTCCATCTCTAGGTCTTTGCTCCTCAGTATAGGTTGAGGGGTGGCTGCAGCAGGTGTGTCTGCACCCATGTAGCTCTGCCTGCGCACTCAGCCAGCCTTTTGGGCAGGTCCAGATCTCTATCTCTGTTGGGCGAGTTTGAATTTTATGTCTGTCAGATTGGAAAATTACTGTGCTGTGTGACCTATTGGCATCGTGTCTGTAGTCTCCTGAGTTTATATTTCTAGCATTAGGTTATTACTGGTATCCAGGTTGACAGTTTTGTACAGATATAGCCACACATCAGAATTTCAAGCACCCACCGTTCTCCTTCTGCCTGTACTTTGCCTTTCTTCTTTCTCTGGCGCTGCCATTTCTCCTGTTCCAAAGTCGGGAACCAAGGAATCACTGTCTTCATGCCCAGTACCATCCTCTAAATCAGACTGTCATCTCTCTTCGCAGTGCCCCACATCTCACTCTCCTCTGCTTCTGTCCGGGTTGCTCTCCAGGGCTTCCTAACAGCAGTGACAGCTCTTTGGTTGGCTCTCCATCTCCTCTTTCACCCCTTGCTCCCAGTGTGACCCCTCCTAGCATCGAAGATCTCCCAGTATAATGATTCTGTTTCCACCTACAGGCTGGCCTTTACTCAACCTGGCTTGCAGGCCCCCCACATGATATGGCCTGCTGTCCGTCTACCAGGCCGCCCCTGCATATCCTCGGGTAGCTGCTTTCTTCTTGTTTCAAGGCTTTCCACTTATTCACCCTCTCTGTATGTGCTTCCTGGGGCTGGCTCCGTATCCTCTCTGGGTTTGGTGTCATCCCTCTGTGTGCATTTCCTGTCACCTAATTGCATTTTCAAAAAGGAAAAAAAAATCTGTATCCTGTGACTTTTTTCTCCCAGAAAACTAACACAATGATTATATATTTGCTTGTTATCTATAACTTCTATTAATTTTTTTTAAGGGGAAGAACCAAGACCTATATATTTCGTGGTAAATAAGAGTATTGAATGCGTACATTAATCAACCTACTATGCTCTAATAAAAATTGCTTACATGTGTAATTGCTGTACTCCGTGATAAAAAGAACATATGCTATAAGATATAGTGCCAGCTTTTAAGGATTTAGAAAGTATACTGTAACAATTTGTGTTTCATCAGAGTTTTAGTTTAGAACTACTTATTTTTTGTTGGTACCAGGACCTTGGTACCAGGACCTTAGGACCTTGTGCTTGCCAGGCAAGCACTTATTCCACTGAGCTATCTCCCTGGCCCAGGTTTTGAACTTTTTAAAATACAAAAGAGCTTGCAAAGTAATCCAGCTGTCATTTAGTCAGATCTTGTCAAGTAATCTCGTTTGGATCCTTTGGTGATCAGAGCTAGCTTAATTCACAGTGCCTAAGCAATTTCGTATTTTATTACTTGGAGCCAGAGAGCATACTTCATCTAAGTGGCAGTGATGGGTAAATGGTTGTAGTTATCACAAAGCCTTTTGAGAATGGGTTAAAAAGCACACAATGAACTTGGGGGTCAGAATTATTCTTGAGAAGTAAGAGACTGAAAAGCTATTCAAAAGAAGGTGATTGCCTAGATGATTGAGATCCTAGTTAAACAGTTACAGGGAACAATGAGTGTAACAGTGCGGTCCGCGTCCTGTATTTACGTGGAAAGGCAGTTGTTCTCAATTATTTGCCTATATTCACAGAGATTTCTATCACTTCAGACTTAATTGCTTCTAAGTAGAAGACTAGAATTAAAAGGTAAAGGAGAAGAATGGTATACTTTCATCTTATCACATTCTTTATTAACAAGGATTAATCAGGTACAGTGTGCAACAGCATATGAGGTGGCGTGATGGTTTTCTTCTACTTCAGGAAAATAAGGTATTACATTTATTTAAAGAAATTGCTAATGTGCTTTACCAAGATTTTGGGTGGACTTTTGTCCTCCTTTTCCCCATCTCTCTTTAGCTCCCTAAGATTTGCTTTCACCTGACCCTCCTTTCAAAACAGCAGTTAAAATAGATTTATTTATAGAGGCTACAGAAAGGCAGAAGAAGACAGTGGAACCTACTGCTGGTTATCATTGTAGCCAGCTCATGCTCCACTGCTCCAGGGTCTCCTGACTTCTCCCAGAAGCACTTACAGTTTAGGTTTCTTAGAGGTATTATTAGTATTATCATCTACACCTGGATTAAGCTGGTAGCCATCTGGTTACACTCGATTTCCTGGAATTATACTCTCTCCAGATATGAATCAGGCAAAATTAGCTTTTATTTTTAAAAATGAGATAAAATTTTGTCATAAGTTATTCATTTGATTTCATAGAAGCAAGACATTAGTTATATTAAGAAGTGGCAAAGTTTTTCAGGTGGCACTTTGGTTGCATGAAATAGTTTTTTGATATAGTTTTGTGATAAAACTCTTGACAGGGCTGAGTAGTTCAGTGGCACAGTGCCTATCCGGTAAGCACAAGGTGCTGAGTTTGATTCCTGACACCAAAACAAAAAACGCTTCTTGACATTTTGCTCATCAGTTAAGAGTAACTCAGTAGTATGTGGTTTTAGGTTCAATTTGGATGCTGAACTTTTTTGTGAAAACTTGATAGAAGCAGCTTTTTTGTGTGTATGATAGTTCTATGCATTTATCTTTCTGTAATTATAATTAAAAACACATTTTAATTATAAACTTAGCATTTAAGGGGCTGGGAATATAGCTCAGCGGCCTAAGGGCCTGCCTGGCAAACACAAGGACCAGAGTTCAATCCTTGGTACATGCTGTGCCAGCCCCGGAATCCTGGGCACGCTGAGCCAGCCACTGAGACCAGGCGTGGTAGTGCATACCTATAATCCCAGCACTGGGGCGGCTGAGACAGGAGGATCACTGTGAGTCCAAGCTGTGTAGTGAGACCCTGTACCAAATAAATAATTTTTTAAAAAAATTAAAGTAGATTTAGTATTTAAGTGTTTTAATGGAATCAGGGTGTTTAGAACTTTCTTTGGTGGACTGGGGAGATCACTCAGCAGTCTAAGACCCTGCCTGGCAAGCATGAGGACCTGGGTTCGATCCCAGGTACCTCATGCAGTGTGTGCCCCAGAACCAGGCATGGTGGTGCACACCTATAATCCTAGCACTGGAAAAGAACTGTTTTTTGTTTGTTTGTTTGTTTGTTTGTTTGTTTGTTTGTTTTTGTGGTAATTGAAGAAGGAATGGCAAAAATCATTCTTCTAGTACATAGACTTTTGTTTTCTGTGAGTTAATAATACTTCAACTTTTTTTAAAAAATTAAATATACTCTTTTAACAGATGAAGAAAGATCAGGACCAGCTATAGATTTTTTATTTAGATAAATCAGGCTCGTGCTGGGGTGATGGCTCAGTGGAATAAGCGCTTCCCTGGCAAGCACAAGGGCCTGTGTTCAATCCCCAGTTCCGCAAAAAAAAAAAAAAAAAAAATCAGACACACAATAATAACATCAATATGTAATATGGGAGGCTAAGGCAGGAGGACTGTTGTGAGTTTGAGACCAGCCTGGGCTACAAAGTGA